GTTACCTTGGTTGCTGATTGGCTAATGGTTACTCAAGCCAAAACATCGTTATGACATCATAAAGTGGCCAAAATCTGATCAGCTCATTTTCAGACAGGTTTTTATAGAAATGGATCAGGACAAAAAGAGAGAGCATCTTTTTTCCTGAAACTTTCAGAGTCTCTTTCCACAGAGGGGACACATGTTGATGTAGAAGAGACATGAAGAAGAGGGGACACATGTTGATGTAGAAGAGACATGAAGAAGAGGGGACACATGTTGATGTAGAAGAGACATGAAGAAGAGGGGACACATGTTGATGTAGAAGAGACATGAAGAAGAGGGGACACATGTTGATGTAGAAGAGACATGAAGAAGAGGGGACACATGTTGATGTAGAAGAGACATGAAGAAGAGGGGACACATGTTGATGTAGAAGAGACATGAAGAAGAGGGGACACATGTTGATGTAGAAGAGACATGAAGAAGAGGGGACACATGTTGATGGAGAAGAGGGGACACATGTTGATGTAGAAGAGACATGAAGAAGAGGGGACACATGTTGATGTAGAAGAGACATGAAGAAGAGGGGACACATGTTGATGTAGAAGAGACATGAAGAAGAGGGGACACATGTTGATGTAGAAGAGACATGAAGAAGAGGGGACACATGTTGATGGAGAAGAGGGGACATGTGTTGATGTAGAAGAGACATGAAGAAGAGGGGACACATGTTGATGTAGAAGAGACATGAAGAAGAGGGGACACATGTTGATGTAGAAGAGACATGAGGAAGAGGGAACCATGTTGATGTAGAAGAGACATGAAGAAGAGGAGACACATGTTGATGTAGAAGAGACATGAAGAAGAGGGGACACATGTTGATGTAGAAGAGACATTGAGAAGTGGATTGAGCTAATAGGTGACCTTTAAAACACTGCTTTAATATAATGTGAGTTCTAGTTTGTGTTTGTTTTCGTAGCGCCATGGAAGAGACTCCACGGAGGCTTTTAATTCCTCCTGTGAGATTTTAAACCACACCTAGCATCCATCAGAGGAAAGCCCCCCGGGAGGTCATCAGCATGCAAACTGCTCGCTGTGACACAACTACAAAACCCACTGTTTATTTTTGATTGTCAACACAGTTTGAATTAATTCCTTTTTAATTGCGTTTAATTCTCCCTCCCTAATCTCTATCATGAAAGCAGGCAGGTTTGAAGGGAATCATTCACAGAGGAAACAACATTTTATTTAGCTGATGTTTTTATTAGAGACGACAAATCAAACAAAATAGGAGTTTCCACATCATTTAAATAACAATTATCGAAAGGATTAGAGTAATATAACCTCGACATAGATGAAGCACATAGTGTGTATGTCCCTTATTGGACATAAACACACACATAAACACCTCTCCAATCCCACTTCCCCTTAATCCAAAGTATTTACAGTAAGCATCTACAGTCTGCATCTGTACCCTCTAATACTTCCTGGGTCATTTTGCTTTTTACATTCACTCACATTAAGTTGTTATTGTGCGTCTTTAAGTGTAGTTTTCCGCACTAAATACCACTTCTGGCCTGTGTGGGCAAGTATTTGAGAGAAGCTGGAAGGCTGCATATCTGAGGCAGGTCCATGCAGGCTTTTCCCAGATTGCATCAGGGGTAGGAACAGAAAGTGAGCACTCTGAACCCAAAAGCTACTTAATCACTGGGCTAGAGATGACAAAAACGTTCTGAAACACCCTGTGCATTTTCAACAGCATTATATCCATAAGCAGTCGGTTAAATGACTGCCTGATGGTTGTTTTAATGCGTTCCCTTCATGCAGGGTTATGCTAATTAGACAGCCTTGTTCAAATGATTGCATTCTCCAACTGCACAGTCAGCACTGTGAGCAAATGACTCCACGGCTCACTAATAATCAAAAAAGTTATCCGGTCACATTAACGATCGTATCATGCACATATTTAGCGGCTGATGAGACTCTCGCCGTCCCCCTGTGTGCAACCAAATCCCAGCAGCAACATCCATAATAAGCAAACAGTCACTTTTATTATGGCATATCTCACTAGCTTCGATTTTACATGCTCAGCCATTCATTGTGAACAAGTGTCACATTTCGAATAGAGCGCTTTGTTACGAAAGCTTGGGCTTCCCTGTGGGGAATTAAAGAACATTCATTAGATTAATTTCCCTGAACGGTGATAATGGAAGTGGAGCAGCGTGATAACTATTTCAGATTCCTGCTTCAATCTCATGTATTTGCTAAAAAGACTACGGGGATTTGAGGGACGTGCACAGTGTGAGGCTTTCAGACGAAATGAAATGTTACCCCTCAGCTGGAGACTGTCGCTGCTTGACTTTTTGTGTTTTCCACGTTGTTTGTTTTTAGGCAGATCTATCAGGAGGCCGATTTTTGAATTGCAACATTTCTGTGAATATTGCCATGAAACCACTTTCCTGTAATGGACAGTCGCTCTCATGGAGGACGCTTTCGATGTTGAGCACCAATTTTCGGGGTGCAGATGGACTGAAGAG